CCGGCGTCCGTGTCTCCCCCAGGGCGCGGGGCGTCTGGGGGGGGGGGGACAGGGCCGGGGACTCTCTTTCAGCCCCCAAGGCAGGGGGGTGCAGCACTCAAGGAGTTGGACCAGGAAGGGGGAGACCCGGGTCCCCCCTTCCTAATCCACACAGACAGACTTTGGGCCAACTTACCCGACAGGGCAGGGAAGAGATGGAAGGAGGGCGCATTCTGAGCTCCCAAAGAAAATACAAAATACTGTATAACGCCTTATTTCTCAACCTTGGCAACTTTAAGATGTGTGAACTTCAACTCCCAGAATTCCCCAGGCCGCACCACCTTTTCTGGGGTTCTGGCTTGCTGCAGTTCGTTCGTGCTCGTTTGAATAATGTTCTTACACAGCTCCTCTTGCGGGAGGCTGGGTTGTTACTTTGGTAATGGAGCGCTTGGTGAGCACAGGTTGTTTTCCGATAGACTTGCGTTTCTAAACGCACTGCCACAGCCCAGAACAGCAGAAAAAGGAAGCAGGGCACCTACACAACAAAATGGATGCCCACGCAACTTTATCAAAAAGTGCCTGGCCACTCAACCTACTACAACACAACCAACACAAGCCATGAAAAGGATCACACTGCCCATACATCAGAAACGTCTCACAAACTGCCCACAAACTACTACAACCACATGGCATCTCCATAGCACACAAACCAGCCAAAGCCCTCCAAAACATCTTAAGCAAACCAAAAGACCCAGTAGCCCAAGAAATGGATGCCCACGCAACTTTATCAAAAAGTGCCTGGCCACTCAACCTACTACAACACAACCAACACAAGCCATGAAAAGGATCACACTGCCCATACATCAGAAACGTCTCACAAACTGCCCACAAACTACTACAACCACATAGCATCTCCGTGGCACACAAACCAGCCAAAGCCCTCCAAAACATCTTAAGCAAACCAAAAGACCCAGTAGCCCAAGAAGAAAAAACAGGAGCCATCTGCAACATACAGCGTAAGGACTGTAACAGCCACCATGTAGGGCAGACGGGCAGAAGGCTGGCAGAGCACATCCATGAACACCAAGGAACAGCCAGAAGACAGGATGGAAACTCCTTAACCTCACAAGACGTGGACAGACTCAACCAAAGTTTCAACCAGGAAACAATCAGCATCTTACACCAAGCTAAATCCAAAAATCTAGGGAATTTTTGGAAGCTTGGCATTCAGACAAATCAGCCATCGACAGACACGTAGAAATAAATCACATTTATGCACCATTCAAAAGAGACAATAAAAAAGCTAAGAAGGAAACAGAAGACCACAACACATGCTCTCCAGCAGCCAATCCCATAAGCAGGGATTAACCCCAGACAAACAAGCAAGCAAGCAAGCAGAGAATACCCTACCAAGGAGAAAATCCCATTTCCACCAATACTGACAGAACAATCTACTCTATAGAAACAGGGAGCAAACCCCACACTCATTAGCACTGATGATGTTACCTAGTCGGGTATGAAACGTCTGCAGGCAAACCACCAAGCTCAGAGAGGACCAGGGATCCACAATTCAACCCTGAGCTACAGAGATTCTCTTCTATTGGAAGTTACATCCTCCAGGCCAGTGTTCCTCAACCTTGGCAACTGGAAGATGGGTGGACCAACTCCCAGAATACTGCCTGGGGAATTCCGAGAGTGGAAGTCTACCTATCTTACACTTGCCAAGGTTGAGAAACACTGCTCTAGGGGCTTCTCCAGGAGGAAACCCACCCCCACCCCAAGCTCAATGCCTCCTATTTGCAGTGGCATCTGCGCCTTACAGTTGCCCCCCTAGATTGGCCACCACCTTAGAAAGGAGCCGGGCCTTTGCAATGTGGCCTGATCTGCCCGTAATTGCTGCAAGGGAGGGGGACAGCGCACAGAGAAGAGGTTGAGATAATTCAAGCCATTTAAGCAATTGGGGACTTCGAGCCGATTGCGAGTTAATAGCGTGCGCCAAGCTGAGATTGTGCCGGGTTCCTGTAATGGAGCTGCTGCTCCCCGCTCCCCCGACACTCGCCTTTGATTTATAATTCATTTAGTTGCTCGTCAAAGTGAAGGAGCCACTTTTGAAAGGCACCGTGTGCCGGTGATGAGCGGGCACGCCGAGACTGAAGGTGCCTCCGCTGGGACCGCCAGCGAGCACGGGCGGGTTCCACGGAGCGCCGATCAGAGGAACCTCAATAAGCCAACCTCTGCAACATCGTTCCCACCCAGGAGACTGCAAAACCAAATCTGGGTGGTAATGGATCCCGTCTGGGATGCTGGGTTGTGGGAGGGAAGCCTTCGGAGTGGTCAATCATGTCTTTAGGAAGAGGCCAAGGGCAGGATGGGCCTTCCCCTTGTACGTTCCCTGTTTCCAAGGAGAACGGTGCTAGCTCAATTCTTGCTTAATTCTTCTCTTCTGAGTTCTGGAGCCGTCGTTGCAGACGGCTGACTCCAGGGCTGACCCTCTGCAAAATTAAGCGCTCAAAGGGATGCCCCGGGATAAGAGTCGTCTGAGCTCCGGAAGCAGGTCATCTTCCGGGAAAAAAAATGGCCTGCCTTCACACTGCATACTTAACTAGGTCAGATAACGGCAGAGCATTGCATTTGCACAGCATGGAAAGGTACAGCGGTAGGCAGAAGTGGGGGTGCTGGGGGCTCAGTTAGCTTTGCAAAGACAGCCTGTGGAGTTGCATATATTGTGCTAGCTCAGAAAGCAGGTTATTCAGTAACCAGGTTAAGGGCAAACCCAGCCAATGAGTTCTCAGATTGCCCCGTTCCCACAGCCGGGCTCTGCGTGGTAGTCCCTGCGGCTAAAGTGGTCCCTTTTGACAGCAGACAGGTCTGGGGCTGGGGACATTCAAGCATCCACAGGTCTCCAAGGGAGCTGTTCCTTGCAGTTGAACAACTCGGAATATGGATCTTGGAATATTCCAGCTTGGAAGGGTCCATCAAAATCACTGTTTCTCAACCTTGGCAACTTTAAGCGGGGTGGACTTCAACTCCCAGAATTCCCCAGCCAGCATTTTGATCAGAAACACTGATCAAAACCAATGGCTGCGTTCACACAACATGTTTAACCTCGTTTTCCTTGTTGACACAATACAATAAGCTAAACAAATGGGCTAGGTCTAATCCATAAAAAAACGCCTGATCAAGGTTAAAATGAGACAAATTTAGCCTGCTGGGTGAATACAGCTGCTGAGTCTTGACTCAGTTGGGCTAAGGGTGTTGTGGGAACACGTGGAATAGCTGGTGGTGGTGGAATAGCTTCACCAATCTTCCCAACCTGGTTTTCTTTAGCTATGCTGGGAATTCAGCACCAGGACACAGACGAGGAAATATCGAGTTGCAGAAGACTTTGCAGACCCTTCCTAGAGATGCTGAGGATGAAACTCTGGATCTGGGGTCAAAGCAGGTCCAGACTTCTGGCTTATGGTATGAGCTTTTGGCCGTAATGTTTTCCCCAGCTCTAAATTCAGCGTTGTTTGGCTGGCCGTTGTGTCTCTTGGCTGCAACCAGCTTCTGCCCTTCCATTACGCCTCGGGGAAAACCTCATGCCTTGCAATTTTTTGACGCTTCTAGGAAAGGTGACCACTTCTTTAGCTAAGTAGCTGTGGGACGTCCTGCTTCTGTAGCCCCCTCCTCTCCAAGGTACAGAGCCCATTTTCTCTAGGGTTGAGAGGAGACAACAAAAGCCATCATGCCCAGCAGGGTCCCATAATGCTTCTCCCCAAGATGAGCGCTCCCTTCCTTGGAGAGCAGGAATGGGAGACCCCTTGCTCCACCCAAACTGCTCAGAACCAGAAGGAAGCGGGGAAGAACTCCAGACTCAACACACCATCTTTTTTCTTCTCCCTTCCTGCTATATGCTCAGCACGGCAAGGGCTTTTCTCTTTTTGACGTTGTGCTTTCCAATCCTGCCAGCAGCCTTGGAAGTTCATCAGAGTCTCAGCAGAAGACTTTCTGGAGAAGTATCTGAAAGGGATTAGCGGCTGGATCCTGGAACAGTCTCGGGAGATGGTGGAGTTTCCTTTGGTGATCTATCAGAGATACCTTAGTGCAGAGTTGTCCAAACTTGGCCACTTTAAGATGAGTGGACTTCAACTCCCAGAATTCCCCAGCTGGCTGGGGAATTCTGGG